ATCTTGGCTCACTGCAACCTCCACCTCCCGGGTTCAAGCAATTCTCCTGCCTCAACCTCCCGAGTAGCTGGGATGACAGGCACGCGCCACCACGCCTGGCTACTTTTTGTATTTTTAGTAGAGATGGGGTTTCACCATGTTGGTCAGGCTGGTCTTGAACGCCTGACCTCGTGATCCGCCCGCCTCGGCCTCCCAAAGTGCTGGGATTACCAGCAGGAGACACCGCGCCCGGCCACCCTCTATTCTTTTGAAGAAACTACACCAGCTCTCTTCTGTAGACTTCAGACCTTTCTGTCCCCCTACCCATGTGACATTTTCCACTTGAGACGCCTGAGAATGACACTGGCCAAACTGCAACCCATGATCTTCTCCATGAAACCTACTCCTCATGCTGCTGATTTCCCCAACTTCATTCTTTCAGATGTTCAGGCAAAATAGAAAAAAAAAAAAAAAAAAAAAAAAAAAAAAGGGCCCTTCACTCCCTATTTTTGCTCACGGACACATCTGATACAGCAGGAAAACCTGTTGGCTCTATCTTCCAGGTCTATCCAGAATCCCATCACATAGCCCCTCTTCTACCATGGCTCTGGTGCAGTCTCTGGGATCCACTGCAGTGGCCTCTTCTCGGTCTCTGTGTCAATGGCCTACCCTGCTCGTTCTAACTCTGTACCTGCCCCCTCCGACTGGTCCTCCCTTGACAACCTTCCATGGTTACTGGCTGCTCAGGTTGCCATTCCAAGAGAGAATTCACAAAACCCTCTCTTTCCCGCAGAAAACACACACTCCGGGCTCCCCGACGCGGCCCACTCGGCAGCGCCTCCATGCCCTGAACCTGAGGTCCCCGAAGGGGAGCTCTGGGGCTGCATCAAACCAGCTGATACTGGGACCCCACACAGGAACGCCACCCTCTTCGGGACAAGGGGCCTGACCGGCAGGGCCCCTTCTGTGGGCTTCAGCACTGGAAGGAGGGGTCGGGCGGAGTTGGGGGGCCTGGGATGGGGCACCCACCTTAGATTCTTCGGCGCGGACTCCGCCAGCCCAGCCAGGGAAGAGAGGGGCGGGAGCGACAAAGGCAAGACAAGGACACCGCTGTCCCCAGTCCTTATCAGCTGAGCCTCTGCCACTGTCAGTTGCGCCTGTGTCACTACCGCCTCTGCGCCGAGGGAACCCAGCCGCTTCTCGCGCTTTTCCGCTCCGTCACTTCGGTGACGTCATAGAGCGCCAAAGGCCGGAGCTAGTGAAAACACCAGAGAGAACCAAATCAACTACCGCGGAGGACGCCGGAAGTCCCGCCCTCCGACGATGCGCACGCACGCACGCACGCACGCACGCACACATTCCTTCCTGTACCTTTATTGGGTCAGTTGCGCCTCCGAGAACCGCAGTGTCTTCTGGGTTATGAAGTTTCGACCCCGCTTCTGGACTTGCCTTAGAGCGTTGGTCAGGCTTTATATGGCGGGTAGAGGCTCAGTGGCACCGTCAGGGGAGCTGGTAAACGGAGTGCCGGACTCCAAAGACAGGACGGGGCTTGGGTTGCTCTTAAAGGCGACATAACCAGATTTTCTTGAAGTAACGTCTAGGATACTCACAGAAATATGAGGGACCTATGATATCGGATTGTGAAGCACAGCAAGTTCCCAATGGCTACACCCACCAAAGGGACACCCCATACCATAAAGGCACTCTGTGTCTACTCATGCCTCTCAGCCATATGTTGCTTTTCAAATACACATACAGTTAAGCTTTGACTTCTGTTTATTAAGCTTCAATATGCTTGGTCCAAGAGAACAAAGACAGACTACATGGCTGGGAATTTGCACAAAAGATGACAGGAGATATCGACGTAGATTGAAAGGGTGAAGCTGTGCCTCTGGATCCAAAAGAAAACATCATTACTGTCTGTACAGTCAGTGATTGCGTTCCCACCAAGAGTGCAATGCTTTTATTCTAATAATACTTATTACTGGCCGGGCGCGGTGGCTCACACCTGGAATCCCAGCACTTTGGGAGGCCGAGGCGGGTGGGTCACGAGGTCAGGAAATCGAGACCATCCTGGCTAACACGGTGAAACCCCGACTCTACTAAAAATGCAAAAAAGTTAGCCGGGCGAGGTGGCGGGCGCCTGTAGTCTCAGCTACTCGGGAGGCTGAGGCAGGAGAATGGCGTGAACCCGGGAGGCGGAGCTTGCAGTGAGCCGAGATGGCGCCACTGGACTCCAGCCTGGGCGACAGAGTGAGACTCGGTCTCACAAAAAAAAAAAAAAGAAAAAAAAATTAATACTTATTACTTCATGTCTGAAATATTTTACATTTATTTTAAAAGTCTCAATCCTATCTGAAAATGAGAGTGACTGATACATGCCATTTCCTGACAGGACATTTTGTGCCATTCCACAGTTGGAGCATATGTACATAGGGCACGTATTATCCCCAATAAAAACACAGAGTCTCACTCTGTCGCCCAGGCTGGAGTGCAGTGGCGCGATCTTGGCTCACTGCAACCTCCACCTCCCAGGTTCAAGCAATTCTCCTGCCTCAGCCTCCCGAGTAGCTGGGAGTACAGGCGCCCTCCACCACGCTTGGCTAAGACTATCTCCTTCCTGAGAAGTGAGTTATCGTTCTACAGGGAGTTGAAATTGTGAAAATACTTGTAAAATGAAAATTACAGAAATCTATTAATAATGATTGTTAGGTTTTGAAGGGAAGGCGAGGGTTAAAGAAAGGCAGAGAGTTGGCAGCTCTACAGCAATGCAGGTTTTATGTCCAGCACAAGACCTGCAATGGAGAGAACTAGCTTACTGCCAGAACTCACCACCGCTTATAGGCTGGGGCAATTATAGGTCTGGGTGAGGGGGGTAGGGGGGGGGGGGGGGGGGGGGGGGGGGGAGGGTATGGCTTGCTGCCCAGGAGGATGGTGGGGTTTTTGTTTGTTTGTTTGTTTTTTGAGGAGTCTTGCTCTTTTCACCCAGGCTTCAGTGCAATGGCATGATCTCGGCCCACTGCAACCTCCGCTTCCCGGAGTTCAAGCGATTCTTCTGCTTCAGCCTCCTGAGTAGCTGGCTTTACCACGCCGGGCTAATTTTTTTGTATTTTTAGTAGAGATAGGGTTTCACCATGTTGGTCAGGCCATCCGCCCGCTGCGGCCTCCAAAATTGCTGGGATTACAGGCATGAGCCACTGCGCCCGGCTGAAGGATGTTCATAAGATGTTCCTGAGGCAGTTTGGCCTTTTTTCCGGCAGGGTGTGATAGTGACTTCCGTTGGACCTTTTCCCAGCAGGATGTGATAAGAAAGTCAGGCAGTTGGTCAGGATGTTTCTCAAGGCCCTCACTTCGTGGAATGCTTCACTCTGACCGAGGTCTGTGAAATGGCAGAGGGCTTACAGGACAGTGCAGTTTGGACTAACAATGATTATATTGCTATTCAAAAAAAGTGGCAGAAATAGTCCTACAGAAATCTGTGACATGTGAAGGGGGAAAAAAGCAAGCTTACAGTGAAGTTTGAGCAAAAGTCTAAGAAGTCAAAAGAATGAAGTTGAGACTGGCTGTGCTGGAACCTTGGACACATTATGCTTCTGTCTCCTATCCATAATTCTTTTTTCATACTTGAAAACATTGCTTATTAACTGTTTGGAGGGATAAGTAAAGATAATAAATGGAAAGACTTGTCAAAAAATAAAAATGAAGGCCGGGTGCGGTGGCTCACGCCTGTAATCCCAGCACTTTGGGAGGCCAAGGTGGGCAGATCACAAGGTCAGGAGTTCAAGACTGGCCTGGCCAACATAGTGAAACCCTGTCTCTACTAAAAATACAAAAATTAGCCAGGCATGGTGGTGGGTGCCTATAATCCCAGCTACTTGGGAGGCTGAGGCAGGAGAATCATTTGAACCCAGGAGGCGGAAGTTGCAGTGAGCAGAGATAGCACCACTGTACTCCAGCCTGGGTGACAGTGTGAGACTCCGTCTCAAAAAATGAATATGAATAGGGAAGCTGTGTGATGATGTGTATTTACTGCTCTATAAAATGCTCAATTAGCATGTATGAACTGGGTTTCAGGTCAATGGTAGGTACATGGGACACACTGGGAATAGGGCTGCCAGCTGCCGTGTGTATACAGGACTGTTATGTGTTTTCTTAGATTCTGTATTTGTCTTTTTGGTATTCACAAATCACAGGTACGAACTGACAGCCAAAGTTGTTAACTTCTCTGTCTGCAAGCCGCTTACTCAGATGTGTGAAACTCATATAAAAAAAAAACCGCAGTCAGGCTGGGCACAGTGACTCATGCCTGTAATCCCAGTACATTTCAAAACAAAACAAAACAACCCTGCCTTTAAAAAAGAAACCCTGCCTTAAAAAAGAAGATATTCATTGTGTGTTATTAGGGAATTGCAAATTAAAGCAACAATGGCATACCACTACACACCTATTTGAATGGCATTTTAAAATCCAAAATGCTGAAAATGCCAAATGCTGACTAGGATGAGATGCAAGAGGAATGTTCATTCATTGTTAATTGGATGCAAAAATGGTACAGCCACAGCCCGTCACAGTGGCTCACCCCCGTTATCCCAGCACTTTGGGAGGCCAAGGAGGGTGATCACTTGAGGTCAGGAGTTCGAGACCACCCTGGCCAACATGGCAAAAACTTGTGTCTACTAAAATAGGTAGAGGTTGCAGTGAGCCGAGATTATGCCACTGCACTCCAGCCTGGGCGACAGAGCGAGACTCTGTCTCAAAAAATAATAATAATAATAAAATAAAAATGGTACAGCCACTTTGGAGGACAGCCTGGCAGTTTCTTACAAGACTAAACATACTATATGACAGAGAAAATTGCACTCCTTGGCATGTATCCAAATGAGTTGAAAACATGTCTACAGAAAAACTATACAAATATGTAGTAGATTTATTCATAACTGCCAAAACTTGAAAGCAACTGTCCTTCAATAAGTAAATGAAGAAACTGAGGTATATTTATAGAACGGAATATCATTCAGCCATAACTTGTACACGAATCTTCAGAGGTTTATTTGTAGTAGCCAAAATCTGAAAGTTACCCAAACATCCATAACAATTAAGTTGACAAAAAAGAAAACTTGTGGTACACAATGAAATACTACTTAGCAATACAAATGAGTAAACAATTGATTCATGCAACAAGATAATGGATTAACCTTAAAATAGTTATGTTTACTGAAAAAGTCAGAGCCCCACCCCCTAAAAAGTACACACCATATGGTTTCATTTATAAAATTATAGAAAATGCTTGCTGTTGCTTGTGAATTGTGGAAAACAAGATGAGAAAAGACACAGGATTATAAAGGGACAATCTTTTGTTGTGTTGGATATCTTGATTGTGGTGGTTTCATAGGTGTATACACATGCTGAAACATAGCACATTTTACACTTTACGTATATGCAGTTTATTGCATGTTAATCATACCTCCATAAAGCTGTTAAATAAATGTTCCTCATTAAAATCTATATATACTGTTCCACTAGGAAAATTAGATGTCAACTATTTTGGCTCTACCATACTCCTTTCCCTACAATTTAGGAGAGTGAGCCCTGCCTCAATGTTGCTAAAAATTGGTGAGCAATGAAGTCTGTGTCCACCTCAGTCACTAGGGACGCTGGCTGGGTCAGAGAAGACCCATCCATGGATCTCTCTTCTGTCACTGCTGAGGTTCCTGTCTGTGCAGTGATGGCTGTAAGGTCAACTGCCCAGGGAGACACAGGAATCCACATTTAGATTATTTCCTCTGACAGTGGCCTTGGCCACAGGAGATACAGATGTCTGAAGGTACTGAGAATTTCTATGCACCCCCATCCCACACCATCATAACTGCACCAATATTTGTGGATGCCCCTCTAGAATGTTTGAGTCTCCTTTGGTTTGCCACAGTCATCCCCACTCCATTTTCTCAGTATTTATGTACCAATCATGATTTTCACATTGCCCTAGAGGTCTTACAGTCAATGTCACTTGCCTATGGGATTCTGGATATCAGGGACTTGATCCTGTACAGGTACAGAAAACAGCAATCCCTCAACAGTGCTGGGGAGTACGTGACAGTCAAGGGACCCAACTTATGGTGCTTCTAGAAGCACAGGAGATTTTCACACCAACTATGCCCTCATCGGGCTCACAGGAAATCCTGGCAGCCAGGCCACAAAGTTAGGCACAAAATTTTTTTTAGTCTTTCCAGCAGGCCTAGGGCAATGGTGTAAATTAGGTCAAACTAGACTGAGAGCTGTCTTCTGCCATCCTTTGATACCCTCTGAGGCACATAAAGGTGGTACCCACAAAAGGTGTTACTCCCTTCATGACAGAACCCAATTCTTTTCTCAATCTACTCTACACAGTAACAAAATCCCCAAGAGTAAAGGCTGCCACAACAGGCCTTTATCACTGTCTAAACTAGAGCAGCATGGGACAAGCAGTTCCAAATTTGGGCGATTTGGCAATAAGACAAGTAAGTCACAGCTATCACGTTTCCTGACAAAATTTTGTCAGGAAATCCCAGCAGACCCTAGCTCAGGTCCTTTTAGCCAGAGCTAGATCATGTTTGCTCAGAACCTAATCATGAGGGAAAAGATGAGGACCCTCAATGGTGGGGGGTTAGGTGTGGGGGGGGGGGCGCAGTCCTTGAAAATACTCATGATTATCTGCAGGGAACAGGAAAGAAAGCACAGAAGTCTGCCTTTCCTGAGCAAAATGGAGTGACTGATACATACAGCTGGTAGCAATAAGATGGCTTCCGCCACAGGCACTGGCAGTGATATAATTCCAACAAGAACCCTAGACAGTTAGAAAGTGCAACACGCCTCATGAAAGCTTCCCACATATGTGGTGCTTATCAGGAATCTCCCCAGGGTGGAATGAATATACAATGCTCATCCGCTGATGGTTCTCTCACAAAGGGTACTCACAGAGCATTGCTCTGGTGTGAATCCTATGAGGATGACCAAGAAGATGACATATTTTCTGCATTCATAAGGCCTTTTTCTTTGTGTGAATTTTCTGGTGTTAAACAAGTTTAAGAGATGCAGCTAAAGGGTCACCAAAACTGGTGCACTCATGAGGTCTTTCTCCAGTGTGAGCTTTCCGGTGACGAACAAGATGGGAGCTTCTGCTGTAGGCTTTCCCACATTCACTGCATACATAAGGCTTTTCTCCAGTGTGAACCCTCTGGTGTAGAATGAGGCCAGAGTTACGGCTAAAGAATTTCCCACATTCGCTGCACTCATAAGGTCTTGCTCCAGTGTGAACTTTCTTGTGTTGAACAAGGTGGGAGCTGCTAATGTAAGCCTTCCCACATTCGCTACACACATAAGGCCTTGCTCCTGTGTGAACTCTCTGGTGCAGAATAAGGCTGGAGTTGTGGCTAAAGCATTTCCCACATTCATTGCACTCATAAGGCTTTGCTCCAGTGTGAATTCTCTGGTGTACAATAAGGTTGGAGCTATGGCTAAAGAATTTGCCACATTCACCACACTCATAAGGCCTTTCTCCAGTGTGGATTTTTTGGTGTTGCACAAGTGTGTCTTTACGGCTGAAGGCCTTCCCACATTCACTGCACTCGTAAGGCCTTGCTCCAGTGTGAATTATCTGGTGCTGAACAAGTGTGTCTTTGCAGCCAAAGGCCTTCCCACATTTGCTGCACACATAGGACCTTGCTCCTGTGTGGACTCGCCGATGTTTAATGAGGCTAGAGTTATGGCTGAAGAATTTTCCACATTCTATGCATTCATAAGGCCTTGCCCCAGTATGAATTCTCCAGTGTTCAATAAGGTGGGAGCTTTGGCTAAAGAACTTTCCACATTCACTGCACTCGTAAGGCCTTTCTCCAGTATGAAATCTCTGGTGCTGAACAAGTGTGTCTTTACGGCTAAAGGCTTTTCCACATTCATTGCACTTATAGGGCCTTTCTCCTGTGTGGATTCTCTGGTGCTGAACCAGGTGGGAGCTTCTGCTGTAGGCTTTTCCACATTCACTGCAGTCATAAGATCTTTCTCCAGTGTGAACTCTCTGGTGCTGAACAAGTGTGTCCTTGCGGCTGAAGGCCTTCCCACATTCGCTGCATGTATAATGTCTTTTCCCAGTGTGGAATTTCTGGTGCATTTTTAGGTGGTGCAAGTGAATGAAGGCTTTTCCACACTCCTTACACACATGAGATGTTTCTCCACTGTGGATTTTTTTGTGATTAATAAGAGCTGATTTCTCCTTGAACACATTTCCACATGGTAGGCATCTAAAGGGTCTCACCTCAGGATGAGTTATCTGGCTGTCAAGAAGAGTAAAGGTGTCCAGGAAGGCTTTTCCTTCATCACCACAACTGAGGAGCATCTGTCCATCATAGTCTCCTTGGCGTTGCCCGAGACTGGAGCTGTGTGAGAAAGACTCCATGCATTCAGTCCTTCTGCATGGACTCATCCTATTGTAAGTGGTCTGGTGCTGGAAGAGGCTAGAGCTGTCTGGTAAGTCCATCCCTTCCTCCCTGCAGGTAAAGGATCTCCCTAACATGCAAACTGTACAGCTCTTCACAAATGAGGCCCCTCCATCATCCCCTCTGAAGCAATTCTCTCTATTATGTTGCTTCTGGTGCTGGTAAAAGTCTGCACTGGATGAGAATCTTCTCCTACACGGCCCACGTGTGCACAGTTTCTGTGTAGGGTGTGATTCCTGGTGTTCAGCCAGGTGCAAAATGTCTTTCAAGAGTGGGTCACACATCTCACATGGGTGTGCTTTCTGGAAGAGACCTGGCTCAGCAGTCCTGACCTGTGATACTCCTTCTACAGAAACACTCTGCTCAGAAGGTGCCTCCTCATTTTCTGTTTCACACCAAAAACCTGAAAGCAAAACGATGCTGGTGAAGTGCACGCTGACTGTGGTGGGAGGCCGCAGCCCCGTCACAAATGTGTATCTAACACCAATGCGAGTCCACTGGCTTGTTGGCAGGACAAGAGAGCCAGGAGCAGTGTAAAGAAGGGTTGGTTGTCAGTACAGGGCCTGTACAGGTCACAGAATGGAGGAACCCTAACTACGGGGTAAAGACCTAAACACAATGGCATACAGGACCGGGAGTAGAGGTTAAGCCTCTAGCTGATTTCTCTGCAAGAGGGTTTCAGCAGGGCCTTAGCTGCTGGTGTCAAGTGAGCTCTGTGCAAATGGGTGTGTCCATGCCCAGGAAAATCTGACTCCAAGTAAGTAGCTAGTTCTCAAGGACTATTTAATGAGCAAAACTCATAACACATTAAAGTAAGCTAGTGTTGAAGAGAGGAAGTGAAACATGGAGGCCAAAAAAGTGGAAAAACACCCAAAGGATGGAAGACAGGTGAGAAATGACAAATGGGAAAAGTGCCAAGAATGAGGAAAGAAAAGTAGATGTGAAGAATCACTATGGGCCTTGGCAACAAAACACTGACAAACATAAAACAAGTTGAAGGTTCGATTTGAACCCAACCATAACAGACACCCTCTTCCAGCTCCCATTCAGCAGGGCCAGGCCCTCTGTAGGTCTCCTTCACTGTGGCTGCAGTGGTGTCTGCCCTGTCAGGCACCCAAGGTTTTCTGCCCCTCTCCAACTGGGCAACTGCATGGGACTGGGAAAATGAAAGCTGTAAAGCAAACAAAGGGCAGGTGAGTGGCGCAGGTAGGCCCACTCCACAGAGAAAACAGACTGTTTAGAAAAAATACTCTCCAAGGAAGATGTACCAGGACAGCCCTGTCATCACCACAAGAAGTGATTGTGTCAGCTCCTGAAATTTCTGGCACAGTCAGGCCCCAGGAAATGTCATCCAGAGGATGAGGGGAGAACCTAGACAAAGAGGTGCAAGACCTTATCTCTGCAAAAAGTAAAAATAGCTGGGACTGGTGGCATGCACCTATAGTACCAGCTACTTAGGAGGCTGAGGTGGGGGGATCACTTGAGCCCAAGAGTTTAAGGCTGCAATGAACCACGATCACAATACTGCACTGCAGCCTGGGTGACAGAGTGAGACTTTGTCTAGAAAAAAAAAAAAAACAACCCTCAAAATAATAAACAACAAAAAATGCTCTGACCAGATTCCCAGTGCACTGAAACTGGAGAGATAATTAATTTTTATTGTTTGAAGTTACTAAGCTATGGGATAATTTGCCATGTAGCATTAGACAACTAAAACACAGACTTACCTAGTGTGGCCACAAGTGCAAAGTTCTCCAGCATCACATCACGGTACAGGAATCTCTGTGCCTCCTCAAGGAGTTCCCACTCCTCCCGAGAGAAGTACACGAACACATCCTCGAAGGTCACACAACTCTGCCATGATGAGTATGGTTGAGTCCACATTCGGCATCTCTCCCCAGAACTCCCTCCTCCCTAGTCTATACACTCACACACCCACCCTTTAGTCCCTCGCCTCCCCAGCCTCCCAACTAAGAGGAGATACAGACCTTGGCACCACTATATCTGCTCTCTCCTCATGTCCCTCTCCCCACGGTGTCCAGCCCAGAGCAGAACCAGGCAAGTGTGCAGACAGATGCTGTTTCAACTCTGGGTCTGGTGTGAAGGGTCCCAAACACTCTCCTACCAACCAGTTCTCCTGGTGTTGTCCAGACAATGCCTCTAAACACAACCAAACTTCAGCTCCATCTTCTCCCATGAGCTGCCTATACTAGATTCTTAAGGCCATCGGTTCACACTCCTCCCAAAGCGCACATTACTCTTTGGACTACACCTTCCTCACATCTGAGATCCCGAACACCACTGGTCCATGCCATAGGCACCTCCATGACATCTCTCCTCCCCCATCCCACTCTGCGTGCGGTGTCCAGGAAGTGCTGGTGTCTTCACACTATCCACCACTGCCGCCCAGGTGCCTAAGCAACAGACCCGGTTTTCTCTCAGTCTCCAGTTTCAACTTTCTTACTCAATAACAGCATTACCACCATGACTTGAAGATACCCCATCCCACTCCACACACTGGCCACCATTTTTTTCAGCTTCTTCAACAGAACCCTTCCCCAGAACTAAAATCCTGTGTGTCTTCTTGGGGCCTCAACTAAGATGTCTACTGAGATCTCTTTTTTTTTCTTTTTTTTTGAGATGGAGTCTCACTGCTCTGTGGCCCAGGCTGGAGTGTAGTAGCGCGATCTAGGCTCACTGCAAGCTCCACCTCCCGGGTTTACTTACGCCATTCTCCTGTCTCAGCCTCCTGAGTGGCTGGGACTACAGGCGCCCACCACCATGCCCAGCTAATTTCTTTTCTTTTTTTTTTTTTAAGTAGAGACGGGGTTTCACCGTGTTAGCCAGGACGATCTCGATCTCCTGACCTCGTGATCCACCTGCCTCAGCCTCCCAAAGTGCTGGGATTACAGATGTGAGCCACCATGCCCGGCCGACAAGAGACCTCTTAACCTAAACATGACCGAAGCCTAATTCCTGATCCAACCACTAAAAATCATACCTGCTGCCAGCTTCTCCATCTCAGTTGATGGCATTTCCATAATTTTACCAGCTACAGCAAAAAACAACCAACCTTAGGGTCATCCACGACTCTCTTCTCTCTTTCACCCTTCACATCAAAAATTCCAATCACCCTACTTAACAAACAGAAAATTTACCAACTTCTCTCACCTCCACAGCCACCCCTCTAGACCAGATACTATCAACACTACTGCAGTAGCTCCTCCCTCATGCTCACAGTCTGTTCTCAACCTGAAAGCCAGAGAGAGCTTGTTAAAATCCAAGTCAGATCATCTCCCTCCTCTGCTCCAAATCTCCCACGACTTTTACCACACTCAGGACAGGGGTCCAGCTCCTCAACCAGCCATTCCTGCCTCACTCCTTCCTCTGATATCTGTTTCCAACAAAGGTAATTAAGACCTGAGGTTCCCTGAGCGCTCCCAACTCAATCCTACAAGCATTTGAGCGTACCTGTTCCTGGGTCTGATATACTTTTCCAGTACTCATCCCATTGGTCGCCAGGTGGTGACTTCTCCACATAACTCCATACAACTCATGGCCCAGATTCAGGACACTAAACTAGAAATGACCTCCATTCACCGCCCCCAGTCTCAAGTGAAGAGAGACATGTGAAGAATCCCAGGATATCATTACTATGTCTCATCAGAGAATCTGGTCAGCCTTACTTATAAAATACATACAAAACCCATACATTCTCTAACCTCTGCTGCCACCACTCTGGCCCACATCATCAACGCTCACCTGGACTATTTCAGTAGACTCCATCTTGATCTTCCCTTCTATCCTATATTCCCCAGTCTACCCACCCTGCAGCCAGAGGAAGCCTTTTAAGAACTGCGTCAGAGGACCTCCCTTCTCTGCACCAAACCTTGCATGACTCCCAGCACCCTTAGAAGAGAGGACCAGCTCCTCGGGCTGCCATTCCAGGCCTACCTCTGACTCTCAGTCCCTGTTCTCACCAGGCACAGACGGTTCCCGGAACTCTCCAAACTCATTCTCATCTTCATGCATGCATTTGTACGAACTGCCCTGCGCCTTCGAGTCCGTTCCATACCTTATGCCATAGATAAGGGGGGGCGGAACCCCTCCACATAATGCGACAGTGACCACCCTCCAGGGTGGTCAAGACAAGTGCGCGATGAGAGCGAACATCGCAGGACACACAACCAGGCCGGTGTGCACTTGAGGGATTCCCCCACTCACCTGAACCCGGTCCATCAGCACCGCCGCTGCCATGAGAAGCAGGTGAACGTGAGAAAGGGGTGAACGGGCTGTGCCCTGTGGGCTCAGCCGAAACCCCACGCCTCCACCTCGCTGGACGCCCTCGGGCTGAGTGTAGCACTGCGAGTCTCAGTCCATCCGGTGTAAAAACGCTCACAAGACTAAGGCGGCTGCCTCCGGCGGAGACAAGGACAAGAGGGCGTGTGTGGAGGCCTCGGTAAGAGCCCAGCCCCGGCAGACACCTCCGCAAGAGACCGCCCTTCCCACGACAGGGGTCATGGACTGTAACAAAAGTGCGGAGGAAGGTCCTGCAGCCTTCACTGTCTTTCCTTGCTAGGTTCCGCGAGAGCCGAGTAGAAAGGCGACCCCATCTAGGACTCAGCCTTCACAACCAGAATACACAGACCGGGCAAAGGAAAAATACGTCACGACGGCGACGCCAGAAGTCTCGCCCCGCCTCCCCGAGCAGCAGGAAACACCCAGTTTCTGGGCTGTCATTGGCTGCACTCCGGCTACCAATGCGCTGGGCACAGATTTCTGGGTAATGTAGTTTGTACTCTGCATCCAACCAGGCAACGAGCGACTTTCGGGTTCTCCCGGATGTCCACCAAGAGGCGTTGCGCAGGGAGGGGAAGAAAGACTGGGAAAACGCTGTCTCGGAGGCCAAAGCTGCTTTTAAAGGGTATGCACCCTGATTTCCATGGCCACCTGGGACAAGGCCACGGCACTGAAGTCGCCAGCAAGGGACCCATTCTTTAATCCTCCTGCTTCTGAGGCCCTGGGAGACCTGCTTCACGTCTCTCAGATTTGGGGATTGAAACGTATTAATAAATTGAACGATGTCTGTATTTCGTTTGTGGACCTTTTTGTAAAACCTTGAATGTCCTTCTAGTTTTTTTTAACATATAAAGAAATGAGATGTAATTGGCTACCTTTCTGCTGGCTGTACAGGAAGCATGGTGCTGGTATCTGCTTCTGGTGAGGCCACAGGGCACTTCATGGTGAAAAGCGGAGGAGCTTGCACGTAACGTGGCGAAAACGTGAGCCTCTTCTAATTCATTGATTCCCAATTTGATACGTGGTTTTACAGCATCAGCTTCACTATGAACTTATAAAAACTGAAAATTCTTGGACCCAACCTACACCTTCTGATAAACTCTGGGGATGGGACCCTAGCTCGAGTTCAGGAACTGGAGGTCTTTAAAAGTCATTAGCCAAAAAAACAAACAAAGAAAAATCAGTCAGATGAAAAATACTACAGCCAACCTCATTGGAAACATGGAAAGTGAGGTAAAAAGTACTTAACACTGGGGCTGGCACATCGTGCTAAATACATACAAGCTACTATCAGTCTTGCTCAACACAAGGTTCTCACACACACTGTTTTAGAAAGATAAAGATCCACTTTTTCAGGATCAGTGGTGATTTTGAAAAAAACAAAACAAAACCAAAGTACAGCCAGGCGCGGTGGCTCATGCCTGTAATCCCAGCACTTTGGGAGGCCGAGGTGGGCGCATCACGAGGTCAAGAGATGGAGACCATCCTGGCTAACACGGTGAAACCCCGTCTCTACTAAAAATACAAAAAAAATTAGCCGGGTGTGGTGGCGGGCACCTGCAGTCCCAGTTACTCGGGAGGCTGAGGCAGGAGAATGGTGTGAACCCGGGAGGCAGAGCTTGCAGTGAGGTGAGATCGAGCCACTGCACTCCAGCCTGGGCGACAGAGCAAGACTCGGTCTCAAAAAAAAACAAAAAACAAAACAACAACAACAAAAGTATAATTATTCCCTCACTCATCAAGTAGCATCATAGGTAATAGTTATAATTTTTTTTTTTTTTTTTTTGAGACAGTTTCGCTCTTATCGCCCAGGCTGAAGTGCAATGGCGCGATCTCGGCTCACTGCAACCTCGGCCTCCCAGGTTCAAGTGATTCTCCTGCCTCAGCCTCCCGAGTAGCTGGGATTACAAGTGTACACCACCGCGCCTGACTAATTTTGTATTTTTAGTAGAGATGAGGTTTCTCCATGTTGGTCAGACTGTTCTCAAACTCCTGACCTCAGGTGATCCGCCAGCCTTGGCCTCCCAAAGTGCTGGGATTACAGTGTGAGCCACGGCGCCCGGCTCAGTAATGGTTATAATTTTTGCACAAAAACACAGCTATATATCACTAGACTCATTTAATTGAAAAAAATCACATGCAAGAGGGTTTCATAAACTACAGGTAGGTCTATCGTCCAGAAGACACATTCTTATAGGCCATATGATTCAAAACACAGAACTATTAAGACTAATTGCTCTTCTTAGTTTTTAACTCCACTGTCCACTTAGGTGTCACTGTAGTTAAAATTTTATAACCTGGTTTATTTTATGAGATGACATAGAAATAATTCATATTTTATTTAAAGAAAAATATATACACACATAATTTATATATACACATATATGCATATATAATTTATATACACACATACATAATTATATATGTATAATATAAATTATCTGTCTCCACTCAAAGCCAATATAAATTTAGGTGTCAGGGACACAATGGAATAACATACTGAAGCAGTTACAGATATAACTGCCAACAGATTTCTATGCACAACAAATGCACTGACTAAGAAGAACTGAAACAAGAATTTAAAGCCCAAAATGAGAAATTTAATGGATAAAAATAACTGGCATAAAATAAAACTTTTAAGATCCTTGTTAAGGTTGAAGGAAAGTGATCCCAGGTGAATGGTCTGTGATGACAGAAGAAATGAGGATCTGAGACAGGGGTGCATCTGTGGATTAATGAGACCACTCATTATAAAATATTAATACTGCCAGGCATGGTGGCTCACGCCTGTAATCCCAGCACTTTGGGAGGCCAAGGTGGGCGGATCACAAGCTCAGGAGTTCGAGACCAGACTGCTTAACATGGTGAAACCCCGTCTCTACTAAAAGTACAAAAATTAGCCAGGCGTGGTGGTGTGTGCCTGCAATCCCAGCTACTCAGGAAGCTGAGGGAGGAGAATCACTTGAACCCGGGAAGGAGAGGTTGCAGTGAGCCGAGATTGTGCCACTGCACTCCAACCTGGGCAACAGAGTGAGACTCCATCTCAAAATAAATAAATAATAAAAAATAAATAAATAAATAAATAATAAAATAAAAGATTAATACTTACTTCTGGAAACAGAATGGTGGAATTACCATGCATATCCTCAATACTATATAAACTGATATGGGCAAATTAACGAATGTACAAATTTCTTATATTTCTTGAGGAGAGCAAATACATTAACTCTATAATGTATTAAATAACTGTTTTAAAGCTTAAACATTAACTGAATCAGAGCATATATCTTACAAATTTGAAGAAAAATGGAGATGTAAAGAAATAAAACATTAAAAAAAATAAAGAAAAAATAAAGTACACACAATGAGTAAGGCAAAGAAAAGCACACACACAACCAGAGGATCTATATAAACCCAAATATATCAGCTATCTCATGAAATGAGTATGGAATAAATTCTCAAATTAGCAGTTAGTAAGTTTTGATGTGCTAAAAATTTCCAAAAGGCCAGGCACAGTGGCTCATGCCTATAATTTCTGCAATGTGGGAGGCTGAAGCAAGAGAATTGCTTGAGGTCAGGAATTCTATTAATAGATCAGCCTAAGCCACATAGCCAGGCCCCATCTCTACCAAAAAAAAAAAAAAAAAAAAAAAGAGTAATAGCAGGGTGTGGTGGCATAAGCCTGTAATCCTAGCTACCTAGGAGGCTAAGCCAAGATGATGACTTGAGCCAAGGTTGCAGAGAGTTTTGATGGTGTCACGGCACTCCAGCCTGGGTGACACAGTAAGACTGTCTCTCACTAAAAAAAAAAAAAAAAAAAAAATCCAACAGTAGTATGGATACAAGAAACACTTCTAGAGTATAATATTAGAAAACCATATGAAACAGCTTTGGGAAAAATATATTTCATACAACAAAGAATCAACACATGAAAACGAAAATTTATATCAGAAAATATCAGTATTAAAGAAACAATTGCTGGCCAAGCGCGGTGGCTCATGCCTGTAATCCCAGCAGTTTGGCAGGCCAAAGCAGGCGAATCAGGAGTTGGAGACCAGCCTGGCCAACATGGTGAAACCCTGTCTCCACTAAAAATACAAAAGTAGCCAGGCGTGGTGGTGGGTGCCTGTAGTCCCAGCTACTCAGGAGGCTGAGAGGAGAGAATAGCTTGAACCCAGCAGGCGGAGGTTGCAGTGAGCCGAGAGATCATGCCATTGCACTCCAGACTGGGTGACAAGAGCTAAACTCCATCTCAACAACAACAACAACAAAAAGCAAGAAAGAAAACAAAGAAGAAAGAAACGATCACCAAGAAATTATATTTTGAACTGTATGTAATGTATAATGCTGACTTGTATTACATAAAGCAACAATTTTAAAAAGGATAAAGACATAAATCTATGAATATGTTGAACATTTTTATGTCTGTTATCTCAGCAATTAGTAGAAACAACCAATATAAAATTGTTAAAGTTCTAGTGAATTCTCACGCCAAGATTGATAATTCTGGCCTAATAAATACAAATATAGGATGCTTATATTTAGTACAACTGAATATTTACAGAACTATCAATATAGATGACTAAAAAGTATCTTCAATTCACATGGAGTGAAATAAGACACAGGATGCTATCAAGATACGAATCAATAAGAGAGATACATGGAAAATATAAAAAGAAGCATTTGGAAATTAAGTTACAAGATACTGAATAACTCCTGCATCACAAAAGACAGTTAAAAATGTAATATTTTTTTCAAATGATGGTACTACAATATATCTTTTTTTTTTTTTTTTTTTTTTTGGAGATGGAGTCTTGCTCTGTCGCCCAGGCTGGAGTGCACTGGCATGACCTTGGCTCACTGCAAGCTCCGCCTCCTCTCACTGCAAGCTCTGCCTCCTCAGTTCACACCATTCTCCTGCCTCAGCCTCCCAAGTAGCTGGGACTACAGGCGCCCACCACCATGCCCGGCTAATTTTTTGTATTTTCAGTAGAGACGGGGTTTCACTGTGTTAGCCAGGCAGGGGAATCACTTGAACCCAGGAGGTGGAGATTGCAGTGATCCAAGATCAGCCACTGCACTCCAGCCCCTGTGACAGGGTGAGGCTCTGTAACAAAAAAAAAAAAAAAAAAAAAGCGTACAAGGCTCAGGCCACGGCTTGGGGGGCTATGGCAACGTAGTGTGGGTACGGGACCATGCAGGACCGGAGCACGCATGTTCCTGGAGGGCTCACAGCAAACCTGAGGTGCCAGGCCACCTGAGCCAGTCTGGAACGCTGAGTCTCAGGGAGACAGAGACGGGGCTGGGGCTCTCGATCTTTCTCCAGCATCCCAGAGAGGGCACCTTGGGATAGCTGTACGGACCACATGGCCGGAGCGGAAAATACAACCATAGAAAGTTATTTCCAAGGGAAACCGGAAGTCCCTCCCTGATACCACAGGAAACGATCCTCTCCTGAGTTATCGTTGGCTCAGACCTTCGTGAGAAAGTGCAAGCAATGGAATTCTGGGTAAAGTCCCATATGTTCCCACGCGCTTGTGCCTGTTCGGTTCTCTGTGGGTAAAGTTAAGTGGCACCGCTAGGAAATATTGGGGAAGTAAAGTTCCAAGGTTCCAACCACAGGGGTCCTTACCTCAGAGTACTCACAT